ACGGGGGTGGCGAGGGGGCAGGGAAACACCCCAACCCACCCACCCAAAACGCTCACACCCACGGGCAAATGCTTTATGCGGCCCCCCCTCCCCGCCGCGCCGCCCCCCCCGAGCGCGTCGCCATTTCGTGAGACAGGAGCGCTCCGAGCTGCCCGCCGCGGGGATCAGAGGGAAGAGGGAAAGCACTGGGAAGGGGATCGAGGGGTGAAGCCCCGGCCCCACGGGGCACCAGCCCATGGCGACGGCCGGCGCGGCCCAGCCCAGGCCCCGGCCGCGGCGCCACTCACAGTTGCGGATATCGGAGATGAAGACCGCCAGGCCTCGCATGCCATCGCCCTTCGACACGGCAGGCATCGTGGCGCACGATCACGGCCGCCCTGGGACGCGACACGCCGAACCCCCGCAGCCGCCGCCCGCTCTCCCCGCGGGCTGCTTCAGGCCGCTCCGCCGCCTCCGCAGCGCGCAGGCGCCGCCGGGGCTCCCGCGCCCCCGCAGCCGCCGGGCGGGCGCTGCTCGTGCGCCACCTGCCGTGCGGAGGCGGGAGCGCCGCGGGTGCGCCGGAGGCTCTGCGCCTCCCGGTGCCGCAGCCACGGCGGGCGCGGACCCCGCCCGTCCCCCGGGATGTGCCCCGAGACCTGCCCCGCTCCCGGGCGTTCCCCGTGCGACCCTGCGGCCCTGAAGGGCTGGCTAGCTGGAGGCCGGGCCCTGGGGATGGGCCGTGCCGCTGCTGGCACGCGATTTGCAGTCACCGCCCGTGAGGGAAAGCGGCCCCGGGCCGAGGTGAGGGGCGGCAGGGCAGCGTTAGCCGCTGTGTCCGTGGGTGAATTCACTGCACGCTCCCTGCTCGGGAACAGCCTCACCTCTTCCTCTCCTCGTGACCCTAATGGCCGAGAAGTTTGATGATTTTTGAAGGTGAAATATCGGGCTTCTCAGGCACCTCAAAGGATGTAACTGCTGAGGGAGAAGGAGAAGGACCGTTGATCAAGATACCGGAAAATTTCACTTCATCACCTAAGCTTTGAGCAGACTATTGATCTGGGATCTTATTTTTAAAATATGGAGAGCCAGGTAAAGACTCTCTGTGGCATAGTCCGTAAGAATATGCTTTCCACAGGGTGGACTGCAGGAGGCTGTGCCTTGGTCTTCCTCCTCAAAAGGGACCCCAAAGCAGTGCACGGGATCTCCTGCACGTACCCTGCACAGTCCCTGTGAGCACTGACAAGCCCGGAGGCGACTGTGCACAGCTCCATCCTTAGGCACATCCCCTTGGGAGCCCGCCGTCGCTCGTGTGAGTGGCACAGTTGCTCCACGTTCATGTAGATTCCCACTCCCTGACTCCCTGAAACCCAGGGCCACATGTTCCTCCCGATGGCTGTAAACATGCAGAGTGACACAGTCCCACACCACATCTACTCCCGAGCCTGAAAACATCTCAAGGTTAAACTGTCTTAAACGTGACGAAGAGGTTGGACTATGCAGAGCATTTAATATCTTCAGCTGAAAATAGGTTAAAATAGTCTCAAAACTGGCCTAGACTGCCTAACCAAAAGTGTGCTGGGGGCTTCACTCATGATGCAAGGAAAAATATGCTTAGTGAAGAATAATGACTCATAGAATCATGGGGCTTAGGGCTATAGGAGATCAGTCAGTCATTTCTCCTCTATTTCAGCATACTTCAAACCATTTAATTTCATCTGGGGTTTTTTGTTTGTTTGTTTAACACACACACACACACACACACACCATGAGCTTAGCCCAACATCTAGCTTTTAGCTATGGTCTATCTTCCAGAAAGGCACTGAGTCTCGCTCTGATACAATCATAATTCACTGTTGCCCTGGATAGCTTGCTCCCATGGTTAGTTCTCCTTGTTTAGAACTTGCATCTTGTTTAGATTCAGAAAGTTCCAGTACCTTTAACTTCATGATACATTTTTCTCTCATAAAGATCTGTATGTCTGACAGTGGCTGTATATCTTAGTTAGGTCACCTCTGAAGGCTCTATTCCAGGTGTTTTCAGGATACAGTGTTACATGAGTGCTTTTTAGTTGTGCAAGTGTCTATGAGCAAGGCAAGATGACAGCATGCAACTCATGCAATTATCACTTTGTTCCTGGATCCATTTTGTAGACCAAGTGCAAATACAGGCAGTCATGCACAATTAGTCTACTGTTCAACTCAGATTTGTAGGCTTTCATGAAGAACATACTCCTTTTCCACAGCTTTACAAATATATTTTTATGCTTAATAATAATTTCCATGCACCTTTGAATGTGAAAACTTCCTATGTCACCAAATTAGGCTTTTCCTGTGATCAGAAAAAAAAAAAAAAAAAAAAAAAAAAAAAAAAAAAAAAAAAAAAAAAAAAAAAAAAAAAAAAAAAAAAAAAAAAAACAACCAAAAACTCTTTTTTGAGTTAATTTCTACTCCTAAGAGCACAGTGACACCTAAAGGCTCAGTCTACCAGTCCTGTCTGGTTGTATTCCTGTCAATACTGCAAGTCATGCAGGTATCCAACTGCCTTTTCAGCAGTGCTTTAAGTACTGCCAGCAGGATAGCTGTGGCAGTACCAAGCTAAGCATGAGCTGCAAATTCTTCTTGAGAACTGGGAAAATATCCAAGTGGTTAGCACATGTGGATGACTCTAGTTTTGCCTCATACAGCTAAATGTTTCATTTGAAGGGGCTCAGTATGCAGTACACATACCCTGATTATTTTATGTCAACCTCCTTTGACTGGATTTCAAAGCTTCACTATATTCACCCTGCTGTCTTTTTGCCTCATCAAAGGCTTGCGCAATCAGGCATGTCTGTCCTTACTGCCTCAGAACTTAGAACTTAGTAGAAAATTTCAGATGTCTTGGTAAGGACAAGGTAGAAATTTTATGTGAATAGTAGGGTATCTAAAGGAAAGAGAGTCTGTAATGGTCTCTAGATGCATCCTGGCTGAAAGAAACATTGTAATGTGAACTCAGCTGTTACTCAGCACAGAGCTTGCAACCAGGCACAACCCTTTGCAAACACACTGAGTTGGTAATTCTGTAAAATATTTTGGTTTGAGCCTAACATCTATAAAACACCAGGCTGCCTAAAAACAAACATAAGTGGTTCTATCCATCCCAAGATGTTATGATAATTTAATATTTATAATTGTAAAATCAACATTAAAGGGGAGATAGTACCAAGAAATATTTTCCTATTACATAAAACAATTGGCATCACATTTGTTTGCCAACAGATCCAGTGTTTGTCCCCTAGTTCCCATTTTATATGGGAGTAATTAAATTTTTTTTCCAGAATTTTATTGCACCGGTACAAAGGCTTTAATAATTACAGTGACCTTCATAAAACTATTACTATTCATCTGAGTGTTTTCAGCTGGTGAGGATCCAGTTGTGGGAACTACAAAAAGGGAATTGTTCCTTTCCTTTTGTTACTTCTCTCACATTTGTCTCACCAGTTATTGTTTTCTCCTGCTCCTCATGATCATTCCAGTCATTACTGGAACCAAAAAGAACTCAGGACTAAACAGAATCCATGGCTCCACCATGCATACACAACCATATTTCTGTACTTGACATTGAACATTCATTATCCCTTAAAGGAGAGCACAATGCCTTCTGCCAGAGTATCAGGTGGGCTGCTTTCAACACTGGAAAACACAAAGTTCGGCTAATATCATTATCATGAAATCTAAATTTACAGAAATTTGGGGTGCATCTGGGCATAGAAGACTATGCATCTGCTTCACAGACAAGACTTCTGTTCAGAGCAAAAATATTTCCATTTTTTCCTTTCCAGTGCTGAAGAATGCTCATTAAGATCTTCATTACACAAGATGGAATGAAAGAAGAGGGCAGTTCAGCAGAATAAGGCAACCTTCCATTCAAGCTTCTAGTAGATTGCACTAAACTGTAACCAAGAGAGAAAGCAGGTCACAGGATAGCTTCTATTGGGAATTTCACTGCTAGGATATGCTGGCCTTGCATCTACATCATGATATAACACATCCATTTTTTTATCAAGTCTTTTGATAGGGTATTTAGTCCCTGCAAGCAGCCTGTGAAATAACAGGGTTATACCAAAATTTCTGCTGCAGTAAAAATAGCAGCATCACAAGCCATGCTGCACACAAAAACACAAACTGTAGAAGGTCAAAGCAGAAGAAAATAAAAAACTCAATTAAATCCACTATCTTTTATTTTAGAGCCTGTTAAAAGCCATCTGAGATTTGACCCCTCCTTTCTGCAGACCCAGAGTCAGCAGTACTGCCTGCAGACTCTTTGCAGCCTTACCTACACGATCATTTTGCCTCCTGGTCAGTGTGTGCATTTTAGCCCAAGTTCCTGATTTACCTACATTTTTTTCTCAGAATCACAGAAACAATTTGTTTTGGAAAGATCTTGGAGATAATCGAGTCTAACCTGTGATTAAACATCACTACTTCAACTAGACCATGGCTCTAAGTTTTTCTTAAGACACATCCCGGGATGGTGACTCTGCACCTACCTGGACAGCCCCTCCCAATGTCTCCTCACCTTCTGTGAAGGAATTCCTCCCGGTTGGACCTCCAGGTCCAACCTGACCCCCCGCCCTGCCATAGCTTAAGGCCATTTATTTTTGAGTTGCTGGTAACCTGTGAGAAGAGGCTGATCCCAACCTAGCTATAGCCTATTTTTGGGCAATTGCAGTGAGCGATAAGGTCACCCCTGAACTTCCTCCTCCCCAGGCTAAATCTGGAGCTGTACCAATTTGCTATAGCTTGGGCTAAACCAAGAGGGTCTCTACGGGAATTTAGAATCACACCATTATTAGCATTTCCTTTCTTCAGCTACCGATGAGCCGCAAGGCACGGGCCCGAGCCAGGCCAGGCCAGCGCCGGGCCGGCCCGGAGCGCCGGGGAGCCGCGGCCGCCGCGCCCTCCCGCCCCGCCATGTTGGCGCTGCCGCCGCCCCGGCGCTGCCCGGAGCCGGCGGGGCGGGGCGGGGCGGGGCGGGGCGCTGCCGCTCGCCCGCACTTCCGCGGCGGCGGCGGGCGGTACGTGGTGTCCGCGGGGCTGGGCCCGGCGGGGCAGGGCAGGCACGGAGCAGAGGGGGAAAGGGCGGGGGAGAGGCGGCCGCCCGGGCGGGGGAGAGGCGGCCGCCCGGGCGGGGGAGAGGCGGCCGCCCGGGCGGGGGAGAGGCGGCCGCCCGGGGCTGCGCCAGCGGAGCCGAGCTCGGCGCGGCCGCAGCGGCGCCGGGCTGGGCGCTGATGCCGTGCGGGCTCCCTGCTAGCTCCAGAGCTGGGCGACTGTGGGAGGGAATTCTGAACGCCAAAGTGGTGCACTTTGCAAGAGGGGAGGGTTTAATGTTTACACAGGTTAGAAACGGATTTATTCTCACTCTTCACTCCCCGCTGTTGCTTTCATTTAAAAATGCATCAGCAGTATGCTTCCCGGCCTTCCTTTACTAAGTGATGCAGGTTCTTTCTGCAAATGTAGTTAGAATCTAGTTTCTTCTTTATAAATAAACTATAAACGTTAACTTAGTGTTGTGTACCATCCGTTCAGTTTCCTTGCTTGCTTATTTTGGACAGTCTAAATCTGTGCTATCTTTACTAGTTTTTAAAAATCGAGATAAATTTAAAACATCTTTCCAAAAGTATGCTACCTCATGTGGAGGCGGGGTTAAACAACATTTGTGACCTGGCTAGGAGAGAAACCTGGCCTTCAGATTAGTTTGTCAAATGATATTTTAAGCTTTAAATTTTCCATAGTATCAGTTGGACAAGGACACAGGCAGTTTTCAATTCTGTTTGCATTTTGCAGTGGCAGAGGACATAAAGAGTGCCAAGCTCAGACAGTTCTTCTGAGTTCAGCTAATTTGAGAAGTGTTAAAAAATGGCAGAGAGTTCATAGAAGTTTGATGAGGATTTGGTTTTGTAAAGCTTGCAAAATGGATGCCTGTATTTTCCATAAAGAGCATTTAAAGTCTGACCAATTTATCGTCTCTGTTACAGTGATGCCATCTACTTAATTTTCATTGATGTTGTTAAAGAACAAACTATTAAAGTAAGTGTCCAACCAAGAGTTTATACTGGACTGTCAGTAGCAGAAACCAATTTGCTACAGGCTCAGTGCTTCTGATAAATCTAGGAGTGGATGTTGACTTAACAATAATTGACAGATGGATACAATCCTGTCAAGGAAATGAGCACATTTTGATGACTAATTAGAGTTTAGGGGTGGTTTTTTAAGCTCCTGTTTTTCAGCTGTTAGATATTATCTTCTTTTCAGGGAAGTGGATGCTGTTGCTAATTGTTTCTGAAAGTGAAATCAAACACCTCTAAATCGATATATACAAGCTTCTGGGAGAATTGAGACCCTGTCCAAATAGTTAAGACTTGTATTGACTGTTCAGGCTCTCGATTGTTCCTCTCTGCAATGGTTCATAGATCTTGCCAAGTGAGATGGAACATAAAAGATACTACCAAAAGCAACCTGCCTTGTCTCATTTTTTAGAATGTGGAAAACAAAGGGGTTGCCAGTGACCTTGAAATCAAAGTAGAAGCATAAGACCTTAATTATTCATAATAAGAATTTCAAGCTGTACAGCAATCCAGCTTTTACCACACTCTCTGAAACCAAGAAATATTAGAAGGCTTTCTGCTTTTATTTTGCAGTTTATAAAAGACTTGACTAAAATTTTCAAATAGTTTTATACAGGAGGTTTTTTATGTTCTTTGGTGATACTGGCATTGTTTTTTTCAAGCACTTCTGCCATCATCCTTCTACTTTGTTGCCTAATCACATATTCCTCTCTTTTCCTGCAGAATCCCAAAATCCTATGGTAACTACCTCTGGTTTTTAAAATCCTAAGCCAGACAAATCCAAATACTAGTAAGTTTGTTGGGTTGTTGATTTCATGTCTGTTTCATTGAGTACATTTCCATTGAAGCTCTAAGGTTCCTTCTGCCACAGTACTCAGAGGCTCAGTCTTGTGTTGTGGGATCCTGCACCTGATGTTTTGTAGCGAAATAATGTACTGAAACTTTGAGCAGCACTTGTTATTAGTGCCAGTAGAACAAGTCTTATAAATATGATTTGTAGGAATGAGCTTGTAGGTCTTCAAAATGAGTGGTAGAGTAATATAGAAAGCAAGATAGTTTTTTAAGTTCAACAAAAATTCAGAACATTGGAAAGAACTTATTTTCTTCTCCATCAGGATCTCATATTTATGAGAAGCAATTTGATACAGATCTAAAGCCCTAGTTCCCCACATGCCAATTTTTTTTACTGTTTTGTTCTTCACTACTGGGAGATAGGCTGGGAAATCTGTGCAACTTTTAACTGGGGAGAGATTGGAAAACAAACTCTGGCTGTATTTGACTTTTTTTTAAAGTCTTCCTACAGATACAAGGAGTGACAGATGAACACACAACAGAGCTATTGTCTACTAATTCTCAGTTTCTTTATTTGGAGCTAGAGCAAACTGTCAAAGTTATTCCTCTAGACAAAAAGGACATGCCTACCCCCCCCTTTTTTTTTTCTCTTCAATTTCTGTATCAGCGATTTGGCAAGGAATTGAAAACAAAGGTCTCACCTGTTGCAGTAAAGGCACGTAGCTGTAAGCATATAGCTATAATTCTTTATATCTGTTAATTAATTTATGACACAATGACCAGGCTATGTAGGAGCAGAAAAAAATATTATCTCTAATTTTCTATAGAAAAGGTAAGGTCGTACAATAATTGTTATGTGCAGCAGACATTTATCTCAGTTTCAGCTGTAAACAGTTGTACATCTTTAAGGGGATTCCATAAAAAGGAAGCTGCAAGGGTCCAGCCCACTTCATCTGTGAAACAGCTATTAAAACAAGTGACAAAAAAGGTGTTTGAGACCAGAAATAATCTCTCACAATGCAGTGGTTTTGTTGCCAGAGCAGAAGCACTGTTAAAACAATACTGCCTTAATAAGTCTGATTCTAAGAGAATTAGAAGAGCTAGAGAGATAAAAAGGGAGAAGAAAATAAAATTTCTTGACTTTTTTTAAACAAGAAAACTGAATGAAACTGTTAGATTCCTCTGTTCACAGAGATTTGAATCCTTATGTTTTCAGGAGGAGAGAAACTTGACATGGGGAAAAACACCATGAGGCTTCTCTGTGCTTCCCTTTCTCTTGCCATGGTATGCTGGCTAGCTGAAAGTACCCTGTCAAAAACAGATGCAAAGAAAGGTGCTACAAAAAAACTGGAGGAAAAGGTAAGGGAAATAACTGAAATTCTTGTCTTATCTAACGTGTAGTGAATTAAGTGAACTTTGGTAAATGGCCTCTACCTCTGTTAAAACAATGTTAATGCATTTCTGCTGAAGCTGATACCCGCAGATAAAACTTGAAACTGTCCTTTCCTTCAGCTTTTCTGTGTGTCACAAATGGTTCACTTCTTGAAATATATGATCTAGACTTCTGGAGCTTTATCCTCTATGCAAGTTGCAGAAGCAGGAAGTTTTTGTCCCTCAGGGAACACACTTCCATGCCTTTGGAAACCAGGATGGGGAACAGTAGTTTGGGCCAAGAGCTCTAGGTCATTTACTGGTGGAACGGAGCTTTGCTAATGGGAAGGCTGTATTGTGATGGAAGATTTTGAAGAGCCTTCTAATCAGTTGTTCTTTTGCAGGCAGAAATTATTCAGAGTACCACAATAATCAGAGCAAGCAGAGCCAGCATGCTGAAGTCTCTCTTCACTTGCTGAGCATGTTCTTGTTTCCTGTCATTATGCATGTACACCTGTCACTGTTTGTATTACTTGCTCAACATCTACCAGGAAGCAAATCTCATTTGCAGGTAGTGAGGGTAATGAAAGGTGTTAAGGCAGGCCATATCCCTAAATTCCTTACAATGAATCAATAGATGGCTTCTGCATACCCACCATGAACATCTCATTTGATCTTCTCATTCTGTTTTTATTTGCTGGGTCAATTGAAGCATCTTCCCTAAAGAAGAGCATTTAAAATATTGACTTTCACAATGCAGCATTCTCAGACTAAAATATATCCAGTTTAAAAGCTGTCTTCAAATTCTTGGTTAAGAACTCTTAACCCATTTTTATTATTTTGGGGGTAACATGACAGAAAACATTGATTGGAAAACAGAGCACCATCAGCTGTCATAAATTATGTTCTTTACTCTTATAATGTCTTGGGTTTTGGTTTTTGCTTATGTGCTTTCTACCTTCCAAACAAAAAAAAGTTTACTGATGATGACAAATCATTTCTGAGGACTTGTATGTTTCAGTTCTAAATCAAAGTGCTCTGCATAATTTAAAAGGAGTGCTCAGAGTTTAATGAAGTGATTTGTTTTGCTGTTGTTTTTAAAGTCTATTGCCACTGAAAGTGGCTGTTTCGTATAACTGGTTCTAATAACTGTCTTCTCTCCACAGAAGCTGCATTCTGATAAAAATGTTCAGGACCGGGGATTGGTAGTTGTGGATCCAAAAGCAAAGGATATTATACTGGAACATAAAAGTTATTGCTCCAAGATGAAGGAACGACATTTCTCAGGAGATGTTCTGGGATATATTACTCCTGTAAGTTGATACAATGAATAAAATTTGTGCTTTGCATGAATATGCAGCAGACTGTGCTAACCTGCAACTTTGCATCCCTGTTTTAAAAGTATTTTTATAGTAATGGAAGGCTGCTGGTCAAATACAATCAAAGAGCCAGAGAAGTATTTGAGATTTTACTTGGGATTCAGGTGGTGTCAAACCCTTGTTCTCACATCTGTCTCTTGGAGGATGTCTAGGTCCTCTAGGAAGACGTATATTGTTTTTCCTCTCACTAGTGTTGTGCAATACACTTAGAGCAGGTACTGGGTGTGCAGCTGCAGTGGGAGCTGCAGGTTGTGCCTGGGTGGGAGCCCCAGGCAAGGGGCTGTGACCTGGTGCTGACCTTTCAGGCAGCAAAGGGCACAGGGACCTGTGGCAGTGGCCAGGTGACAGGACACTGGGACACAGGAGCCAAGGGCTCAGCAGAAAGACCCCAGACTATCACAGACATGGAGAGTACAAAACCTGGGGATTCCTTTGCTGGGGGTCCCTCCCCAGCGGCACCAGCTCGAGCTGTTTGTGTTAGTGCACCACTAGGATTCCAGACATCTGTGGCTCTGCCTTGGGAAACCCAGGGCTGAGCCATCGAGGCAGCTCCATCTGACTGTGAGTGTGGGGTGTGCAGGGAGCCAAGAGGGACACACTGGGGTCACTGGAGTTGCCTTCAGTAGTAAAAGTTTGGAGTGGTGGGAGTGTGACTGCCAGAGTGGCTCCTAGATGGTCAGACAGGGAAGATTCCTTTATGCTGGTTTTGACAGGGATGAGGATGTTCTCCTGTCAGTGGTGAGTCAGGGGAAGTTGCAGTGTAGTCAGAACAGGAGGGCTGCACCTCGAACCTGCTAAATCAACAATAACCATTGTATGCTGCCAAATTGATGTCAAACTGATGTCTTTTGCTATCCTGTCTCCTTCAGAGCATTCTTTCTTGAATGATAAATGTTTCATCCTTTTTTAGAGGATACTTTTCACTTGTTTCTGTCTTACACTGCTCAAAAGACAAATAGGTGCCTTATAAATTTTCACCTTTCTCAAGTTCTCTTGAACATAAATTCAGAGTCTGTAAATTCAAAACTGTGTGGGAATCTACAAGCCAGTTGCTGTAGTTCAGGTGAATTAGCACAATTTGAATATTGCCTTTTGTGTAGCTAGCAGAGCTTCCAGAGTACTTTCTTATTTAAATGAAAGCAATATCCCAGCAGGTTACCTCAAATTAATGAATAGGGATCTAGCAGATGGTTGCACTTCTATTAAAGAGTTTATATTGGTCAAAAGCGAAGTGAACTGTATATCTTACTTCTGAGTCTCTTACTTTTTTTCCTTTTCTTTGTTTTTCAAGTGGAATAACCATGGCTATGACATTGCTAAAATATTTGGAAACAAATTTACACTAATCTCACCAGTTTGGTTACAAGTGAAGAGGAGAGGGAAGGAAAGGTTCCAATTCACTGGGCTCCATGATGCTGATCAAGGTGTTGTTTGTTTTTTTTTTTTTTTTTTCTTTGCATATGAATTGCAACATTGTTGCATTTTTTTGTGTTTTCTTCAGATTGGACTTTCTGTCCTCACCTGCTTCCACATGTGTACATAGTTGATTTGTCAGAAAATATAAGTGGAAATATTGGCTTTTCCACCATGATGTCCACGAAACCTCTCTTAAAAAATTAAAAGGCAAAGATCCTGTACAGGGGAAAACAGTGTTAGGTGTTGCACTGTGCAGTTGTTTACCTGTTGTGGGTTTTGGGTTTTTTTCTTTGCAAAAACCTTTAGGTGAATTTGTTTTAGAAAGGGAAGATAAATTTAATTTGAAGAGAATTTTTTCTCTTCATTGCAAGGAAAGTGGCAGCAAGATTAAATTTCAGCTAGTGTGTATTAGTTCATGGTTTTGAAGTTGACTGAATGTGAAATTTCATTTGAAATAGCTATAATTCTTACCGTGTTAGTGCCTACTAACAAATTCATCCTAGTGCAAAGACTGCCAAGAGGAGTGGATGGGACACTTTAAAATACCATCTGAAAAAAATCAAACATTCCTCCCAGGTGATGCCCAGTGGCTGCAGAAGTGTTACTCTGGGTAGGCACTAGGGCAGCTTCCACAGTGAGGCAGAACTAAGCAGGGAGGGGCTGGGTGGGGACTATTGTAAGGCTGTAGTGAATGCTGTGGTGCAGGTTCATGGCTTCAGATTCTCTGCATCACAGGATGTTCTGGCTGGGTGGATTATGAACTGCTAGTCTGTGGCAGGAAGATGTGTATAATGAAGCTATGCTACATCATTTGAAGAATGCTTGAAAATATGTTATCATTGTCAACATAATTTATATTTTATCAGCTGTCTTGATACTGTTTGACAGGCTGGATGAAAGATGTGAGAAAAACCTCCAGAAACATAAAAATAGGTGAGCATCTGGTTTATGTTTGTTTGCTTGCTTTTTATTTTATTTAGCTTCTAGGAGAGGAAAGTAAGGCTTTCTTCCAGGTCTGCATGGGAGGAAGGAAGATTACATCAGCACAGCTGTATGAAGATGTCTGAGAAGAAAAATTAAAGCAGTTAACTGTAGATAGTTAAGTAACTCAAGTGTTGGCCCTCTTGATGCCTTAGTTTTGCCTTAGCTTCTTGTCTCTGAATAAATCCTGGGTTACAGTGCCCTCCATGGAGGGATACTAGTATATAACACGGTGTGCCTCCCTGGGGAAAGAAGTCTTTAAATCTTGTTGCTTGGGGTTCTGTGTAGTTAAAAAGAAAAAAAAAAATCCCAAATCTGAGTCAGTGATTCAGAATTTCCTGCATGATGGAAAAGTCTTGCTTTGTCTCTTCTCCCCTTAAAGCTGGGAACTCATGGGATATGCTGCAGTGTGTGTCTTTAGGGAAAATTGCAAACATTGGTGTTGAGATTCTGCTGTGCTAGACTTCTTACATTTGTCTATAGCAAGAATTCTGTGGAACTGTGAAATGCTTCTTGATTCAGAAGGGAGTATGAAATTTGAAATGTATTAGAAAAATTGAAGTCAGATATTCTAATGTACTTCAGCTGCCAGAGGGTAAAGCCTTTGAAATCTCTATACTTTTCTAAAACAGTCTTTTACAACTATGGTAGTTAGAAGGGGCTTAGACATGGCTCCATAAAATCCACTGCCTTTTCCTGAAGGCATGATTGTCAACTGTTCCAACAGAAGTTTTCCTGTCTATTTATTTAATGTTTTGTGTTTTTAGAAAAAAAAAAAAAAAAAAGACATAAGCTCAAGTGCTTCCCAAAAGTAAAAATTTGTCTTAGGGCATTGAGTTGAATAGAAGAGTGAAGTAATGTAGAGCTGTGTATGGAGTAAATTAGAGTTTGAGATGAACTTTTCTACCTCATTATTGTGGTAGAAGAGATGCACAACTTAAAGACTGTGTCTTGTGTTGTTGCCTCTACTTGAGGCCCTGAGTGATAGTTCAGTTAAGATCATTCAATCAAATGAAGGTATCTTCTCTTAAAACTTGCATCAGTGCTGATCACTAACTACATTTAAAATTAAGAAGAATGTTCTACAGTGTCAATTTATCTATGCTGTTGAAGTTGGTCAGAGTGAAAAAGCAATGAGCTCTGCCACAGGATATGATTTTTATTGGCATCTCTGCTTGTATCTGCTGTATTCTGTTTCTGCAGAATCATTCCAGTGTAGATAATAAATTCCTTATTTTCTCTACTGATTGACAACTTTGCCTGATAGTGCCTCGAATTTTGTTTGATGGCTGGACTTACCAAGACTTTGAGAGTGTTTTTGGCAGTGAAGATGAGATAGAGGAACTTTCCAAGAACATGGTTCTGCTAGCCAAGGTAAAAAAGCTATTAATGAAGCTTATAAAATAGTGTGAGATGATACTTGATTCCTTTTGTAATAGTTGTTTTCTCATATCTTGTGATTTTGTATTCTACAAAATAAAATTTGCTCAAAGCAATATTGAGGGGTCTTAATAGTGTGTCTGACTATGTTTTCAGTTTCTGTAAATATGAAATGTAGCAACACTTAAGTGCAGGTGACTGAGTCTATTTCTATTGTGAGACTACATCAGTCTGATCAACATAACCTTATTGTCACTGGCAGCTGCACTCATGATTTTTGCTGCTTTAAATTACTTTTACATTTCTATTAGAAATATAATTATTGAGCTGTGGCTAAACCGCTTAATGGTATTTTCTGATAGGCAGAAAAAGAGTCATAAGTGCAATGAGTACTGTTTTCTGTACAGGAATGCATTCAGACTCAGTGTGGTAAAGCTAAGGAACTACTTTTAATACCAAGAAACACTCACTGGATATGTATTACTGAACAGTTTTGCTCATGTCTGTTCAACCAGTGTCCTCAAAATGTTAAGAGACTAGGGAGAGGAGAAGAAGAATTTTGCTAAGATTTCTGGCCAGCCCCTTTCCTAATGGCTTTAGAGCTATGTGAGAATAGACAAGTTGCACCCAAAAGACATTCAGCATTAGTGGTTGATTCATAGCAGCCTGTTTATTTATTGTCAGAATATGAGTTCTTACTTGCTACATGACGTAAAGAAATCTTATAGTGCTCTAGAGGAAATTGGATGTAGAGCTAAACTGAGTAATTTCTTAAAATTTGTAACCGATATATCAATTTTAGGTCCTCAGTAACACTTGACCTCTTAAGGATGTCAACTCAAGTACAACAGTATCCTTGATCATGCTAAGAATAAATTATCAAAAGAGAGACTACTTGTGGGAGATACTTGGAATCATGTCTATGCCAAATTAGCATTTACGTCTTCAGACTCAAGAGAGAATGAGTTTTTTCCCTGATATACAAGTAAAAGTGTGTCAAATCATTTGCTTAACATCTACCTTTCATTAGTGTCTGAATTTTCCTAATACAATATTGGCTTTTTCTGTAAAAATAGATATAATGGATAACTAATAGAGATTTTCAACTTTTGCATGTTTGTGTTTGTTAAATGATTTAAATTTCTCTTTGTCTTCTCCATGAAATACTGTGTTAACGATGAATCTGGTGTAAGGATACAAAGCATGTTCCATCTGTAATAGTACAGGAAAAATAACTGCATGGTCATTAACTATGTGTTGTTGATAATTCTCTTTATTTAGAATGAAAATTTTGATGGTTTTGTAGTTGAAGTGTGGAGTCAACTGGGAAATCAAAAGCAAACGTGAGTACAAATCTCTAGGAAGCATTTCCTAAAAATCAGCTCCTTTAAAGCATCCTTTTAATTTGTCCATGTTGATTTGAATATGTCTTTATAAATAAATACACTTAATTCTAGAACAACTAAATGTTATTCTGCTTGTCTTACAGTGAAGTAGAGGGGTTTACCTCACTCTACATATGATCAAAGATTACATCATAACCCTCACAGTGGGTTTATCAGGCCATGTTAGTCTTTCATTCTTGAGTTTTGCATGATGTAACTTGTACGAGAGCTAAAGAGTTCCTGTACAGTTGCACACTCACTCCCACGTTGGCACTGGCCTTTATCATAACAGTGTTTGGTTTGGGTTACTGGGTGAGGCTTGGAACAGTGTGATACTTTCAAGACCTAAAGCCAAACTTCTACTTCATGAGGAAAAGGCAAAATATGGTGGTGAAATTATGGTTCAATGCAGGAATCTGAAGATTTTGGGTTAGTTTCTCAGGACATTCAGGCATCCTTTTCTCTAAAGCACAGTGTTTCTTACAGATCTCTGTTGCCTAAAATGTCTGGGGGAAAATAGCTTCAAGAAAGCTGCAGAGAATGCAGACTTCATTATGGAAGGCTTTCACCTTTCAAAAAATGATTACTTCAGGTTATTCTGGCTAGGGCAAATGCTGCTGACTGATGGCATGTATTACTTCTCAAACTGAGTGTGCTATTAGCAGTCCTACCTTTTTTCTATAAAATTAACACTTGGAAACAAAAAATGGAAACTACAGAATCTTTTCAGCTTTGTAAAGGGCTCCATCAATTGCCCTGCAATGAGTAATCCTTCAGCTATATGCTCTTGCTTATAATTAGGTAATTTTCCAGGTTGCTCGTAAGAGCTTATCTGTATCCTGAGTTCTGAACCTAGTGCAGTGTCTTAATAAAGTAGCCAATAAGGTGACTGAAGCAATGACTAACTGCCAGTCAGAAGTGGGTGGTAGTGGTCATTTTATTTACTATGCATACTGTATTTAAGTAAAATCAGCAGTTTTCCTATTAGTTAACATATAAGACAGACTGTGTAACTGTCATTTTAAGACTCACTGAAGATAATTGTAAACATGCTGGCATGAAAGTACTGTATTGCAAATGAAACACATAAGCACTAACTAACACTATTAGCCCCAGGGTGAGTCTATTTGTGGCATGATAGAAATACTGCTCTCTTCCAGGACTAATGTTGGTCTAAAACAGTGTTGTTTCACAGAATCACAGAATAAGCTGAGTTGGAAGGGATCCACAAGGATCATTGGGTCCAGCTCCTGTCCCTGCACAGCACCATCCCCAGGAGTCACACCATGTGTGTTGTCCAAAGACTTTCTGAGCTCTGTCAGGCTGGTGCTGTGAGCACTTCCCTGGAGAGCCTGTTCCAGTACCCAAGCACCCTCTGGGTGGAAAACCTTTTTTAATATCCAATCTAAACATCCCCTGATGACCTGTTACCAGTGTCTGCCCCTCCTCTTCCCCTTATGAGGAAGTTGTAAATGGAATGAGGTCTCCCCTCAATCTCCTCCATGATGAGCAGACCAAGTGACCTCAGCTGCTCCTCACACAGCTTCCCCTCAAGGCCTTCACCATCCTCATGCCCCTCCTTTGGACAATGTCTAATAGTTTCAGCTCATTTTAATATTGTGACACCCAAAACTGCCCCCAGCACTGGAGGTGAGGCTGCCCCAGTGCAGAGCAGAGGGGACAGTCCCCTCCCTTGCCCAGCTGTGCCTGATGTCCCCAGGACAGGCTTGGCCCTCCTGGCTGCCAGGGCACTGCAGACTGAGAGCCAGCTTCTCACAGAACCAGGAGCCCCAGGGCCCTTTCCGCAGCACAGTTTACCTAACTGCTGGACATTTTGTCCAGAAGGACACTATGAAAAACAGGTGTCATAAAAACTGTTTATACAGGAGATACTGCTGTTTAGTTGCCTCAGCCTTCAGTTACCTGAGTGTTATTTAGGTGAAGCACCACTTTCATTCACTATCTGTCTGTTATTCATAGAAAGGAGTGGGAAGTATCTTCCATAATTTCTGAAAAGGAAAGGGTTATTCTCACACCATATAATGGTAACTGGTATGTGTAATCATATGTGGTCACTGTGAACAACACTTAAGGATTATCCTAACTTAAATGTGAGATTGCTTGTCACAAAAGCATAAAGGGAAACAAGTTAGGAATTGCAGATTTTCTTCCATTTCAATACCTGATCTAAGGGCTTTATTGGAAACTCATCAGTGTGTTTTTCCTCCTTTTATTGCTGTGTCCCTAGAAATGGTTAGGGCATTTAAGTTGAACAGTGCCTTGGGTTGGGCTTGCAGCATTCTGAATTATGCCAGTTGAGACAGAAAGCTGAAGCTGGGCTCAGTGTGCAGTTAAAGCTGTTTTGTGAATGTGTGAAACTCACAGCATTACATGGTAATTTTGTCTTATGATGCTTTTAAGTTGTGGGACCATTGTCTTCATTTTGAGATTGTGTTTTCCTATCACTAGCTTTGAAACTCAATGGCTTGGCTATCCAGTGCCCAGGAGTTTTCCCTAGTAATGTATTTGGAGGGAACAACTTCTTAGAACAGAAGGGGAAAAATTAAGTTAATTTATTATGTTGGCAAGCTTGTATTTTTTTTGCACTTTGAGTGCTATTACTTTGGGATCAGTTAATTTCATTTTGAGTAGCAGAGCAGAATTTTTCTGGGTAAGCATGGACAGTCTTTTGCTTCGCATGAGTTGTTGAAGAGCTGGAGCAGCGCAATGCCTCCTTTAGCCCAGAGAGTGGCAATATTGTAACGCGAGTCACAATACATTTAACACCTGATCTTCCTTCAGCTGTGTCTTTCGAAAGTGGCAAACCCCGGTAGTAAAGCAAGTTCTTAACCTTGGAAAGGTGGGGATTAATTTGCAGGAGATGTCAGCACAGAGGTGAACCCTAATCCTTTGGAGATGTGAAGTGCTTGTAGGATGGTATTTCTGCATGCTCCAAATGAAGCATCTGTCATAACTTAGGTCAAGTGTAGGCTTTCCTGGTTCAGATCCTTCAAGGGCAAATGTCTGGAAGTAGTTTAACCTGCTTCTAGTTAAAGGGACAAAAGATCATAATAATGCTCCTGGGAACAGATATGTTGCCTTCAAACTACTTTCAGAGCAGTCTGACAATATAAGGAGACCTGCCTAGCTAATAGAGTTTATTCAAGTTATTTAATGTGAACATGTTTTAGTTTAAAATAAAATAAAAATAAATCCCTTTTTTCCCTGACATACAAGGAATAATCTCACATAGGCAGTTAGAACAGGTTATTGAAACTCAACACAGGTGCATAAAAATGTATGGTATACACTGTAGCTGCCAGCTTGCTTTATGCAATGTTAGAGCAGTGGTGTCGATCTAGGAGAAATATTACACAGAGAATCATTATGGTTTTCATTTTTCAGAACTTAAATTAAGTGCCTACCTAGCCATTATATTAATAAATGGCACTCAATTATTCGATATATTTCATATATCTATGTTGGGAGGAAAGCTATGGAAATTATTCCTGTAATGTTTTTAACTGTGTTATGGAAAAGATCTGAGATCCCATCCAATGCACTGCACTAGTGGTGCAGGAACACTTGATACAGCACAGATTTCTTTATCCAGCTTAAAATGACAAGGACAGGATTTCCTTATGGAACATTTGTGCCTGATATGAAGATTCAGCTACAAAATCAGCATCCGCTCTCTGAAGACAATGTGCAGTCATAATTTCTAGCAGAGTGCCCCCAGAAGCAGGTGAGTCTGCAAAAGAATCTGAAAACCTGGTAATTAGAGTCATAACTCACCAAGAAACTGGGCTATGATTTAAAAACTACTTCATATATCAGAAAGCTGAATTAATTGCAGCTGAAGGTCTCTTCTCAATTGATCTCAGGTGAGTAAGTGTCCCATAAGATACCACTTTTCAATAGCTGAACCTGAATATTGGATGGGCATTTTCATAACACATGCAGTCCCTTGATACTGAGGCTTAAGAATTGCCTAAAAACTTTGTGATGATTAAATTATGTAAGAATCTTCATCTAACAGGTTAACAGTGCTAGCTCTTCAGTAACACATAAATCCTGTGACCAACCTCTTTAAGAACCTGTGATCTCTGAGCACTTTTAAAATTAGATAAGCTTAGACACTTCTCTCAACCCTTTGCATGCTTCTAGAAAACCTTTCTCTTTTGGGGTACTCAAGTCAACTTTAGAAATTAATGAAAATTTCTCCTTTGAGGTCCAAGGAGTTATCTAAGAGTCTTCAGTTTCCTGTTTATTCTAGCTGGCATCACAGATGAGGTGAAATGTTGCTAAGAAGTTAAGTTGCTGGCATCCACTAAAACATGAAATTCTGTGGTTTCAGGCTCACTACATATCTTCTGTTTTATGTCTTCTTAAGCAGAACTAACTCAAACTAGTTTGGGTTTTTTCTAGAACAAAGATTTTTCAATCATTCTAGTTTAGGGTTATAGAATTGTTCTGTAATGCTTAGCAGACTCAAGTCTTAAATTATATAAGTCCTTTGTGCTCTTTATTTTGCATGTTCATTAAATGTTAATTTATCAACATTATCAATTTTTATAAGAGAATTATGTGCCTGGATGTATCTGCCTGCTTTCATGTTAGATATCCTGAGCAGCCTCTTCTCTGGCTGTTCACATAGGAGCCTTGGTGTCTCGAGTCTTACACAGCAGTGCACGCTATGTATACTTTCACATGTTGAAAATAGCATTAGGATCTTCCATTTAAGTTCTTAATTTTAGAATTAACACCCGTCCATCTGAAGAACCTGAATTGCTTTGATATGTGTGGGGGGGTCTGTTTTGGGGGCTTTATAGTGACCACTTCAGGCTCTTGCAGATGTCTAATACGGATACTTTGAAGTACCCTCTGTAACACTGGTACCTACTTCTTTCCTGTGTTTTCTGGGAATAGAATTATTAATATACAAATCAGAGTGGCATCAAATTTAATGGGAGGTGAAAGACTGCATCTAACTGATGCTGCTTCCTTTCATACTAGCAATCATTGCACAGTGAAAAAGGGTTCAGCTGCCCACCTCTTACCCTAACACACAGGAAAGTAGGCTCCTAATAGAAATCTAAATGGGCTAAGATAGCCTATGCAGATGATACCTCAACTCTAACTTGTTTTGTGGCTTCTTATAGTTTAAACCTACTTCTTCTTAAATAACTCTTTTTTTTTTCTAAAACTTTCTTGCCTGATTTTGCAATGCAATATTTCAAGTTATTAATTTCCTGTCATTTAAGTTTAGAAATGTACATGGCAGAAATATTGAGATGTGAGCAGGCAAAGGTTCTCCTGATTATTTACTTAACAGCTAGACAAGACCATGTCTCACTTACTAATCTCAATTGTGGGTTTATTGTGTGGGTTTATTTTTCTCCAAAGACCTGGATATGTTGTGAAAAAGGCATAATATACTCATAATACTCTCACAGGCTACATAAAAATGCACACAATATTCTGATCAGTCCAGAATTACTTCGCAGATGGCACTGCCATCACTCAGAATCAATCTGAAAAACATGATTTTTTTGGTCACTCTATGCAGAAGATGACCTTCAGGCATCTTATTAATGTTGGTAGGAGTATAGGAGGAAAAATTCTTCTGGTAGTTGTATCCTTCATGTTAGTCCCTGAAAAATTAATCTATTAATCAAAGATTTGCCATAATTCACTCCAGTTTCTTGGTATTAACTAGGCAGTGAAATGGCAGAAAAGGGCAATTTCTTTTTCAAGTAGACAGCTTTATTTTGTCCAATTTTCTTGACAAGGCATAAATTTTAGGGAGCAGTGACTCCCAATTTATGCAGAAAGGTTGCTGATGTTGGAAAGCTGCAGAGCTTTGAAGGATGGTGTAACTGAAGGGAAGGTGTGAAAACCTTTCATATCTTCTGCAAGGCCTTTCAAATGCATTGACATCCCACTCTTGTGCACTGAAGTAAACTGTTCTAAAAGGTGTTAAAAACACAGTAGACCAGCAATGCTGGAAAAAGTGATTTTTGGAAAAATAAGCTTGCCACAAACTATGGATGATGAAAATTTGGAGGTCTGCATACTTTATAGGGGACAAGGTACTTTAAAATCATAAACACTTGGAAAATTGAACTACCAAATAGTAATGATAAGTGAAGGCCTGAAACAGTGTGAATGAAGTAGACCTTAGCTCAAGATAGACTCTTAAAGCTGCCAATATTTCAGTAGCTACTCTGAAGTTAAACTTTACTATAGTGAAGTGTCTGGTAAATATTTAATGAAGCTTTTTTAGAAAGATTGATTCTATTCCTACTTTCCTGTACCTCATTATAATGTTTAAAAGTCAGCAGCTTTTCTTTCAAAATTGCCAATGGTAACATTGGAGAATATTGCATTTAAAACACTAAAAAACACTGTTGAGACACAGTAAAGTTTTAATTTATAGCACAATAAATGAACATTGTGCTCTTGCTCTTTGGAGGAGAGGGGAAAAGTGCACATTTGATTTATTTCATCTGTCTTGGCCAGCACATGGAAGTGAGCCTACATTCAGTCTTTAGCCATTAATCCTGCCTGATTTGCCAGAAAGTTTTCAGGACCCAGAACCCTGGCTTGACAGGTTAGTGAATAGATACTAATTTGGGTTTCTTGAGCAAGAATCTGCAATTGTCCAGCTGTCCTTTTTCTTCTTGACCTCCTTCAAGTTGAAGGTAATTATTTTTCAGCCAGATCAATACTGATTGAATTTTGTGGGGGGAGGATAGGAAGTGGCTGTTTATATGTAGCCTGTTCTAGAGTCCTGAGTGTACCAACAATCCAAACTGCATTCCCACCCCTTTTTCAGGCCACAAATCTCTGTTCTGTGTTTACAGTTGTAGGTTATGGGTCTACACTTACATGTTTCAAAATATGACTTTTTTTTGCAGTCACTGTTTTTGTGGGTGTGTCACTGCCTTTGTGGATAAGTTTTTGCCTGTGCAGAATGGGAGTGAGGATCTTAACCTTGTTTCTAAATTGAAAAGTTGTTATCTTGTTCTATACCTATGCTAGGGGTTTTTTGTCCTATCCCACCCTTCTTTTTATCCTTTCATAGTCTCAAGAGTTAAAGTCAGCGAATGTTTCACATGGAGTAGAGTTCTCAAAGCTCCTACAGCTAACAAAGCCAGCCAGGCAGAGAAGAGAGATCCTTGCTGATGAACACTGGAATAATCTCAAGATGAGAGGAATTTATTATTTGGTCAAATTTATCTTACATATGGCATGTCTGACATCTAATAAAGGTTGAGTTATACTGTAGTTCAGGCATAATTAGTTAAAAAGGTGACTAAGCCATGAGAAAGAAATGAGTGGGAAAGCTTGGTTACCTAGTTTTAATACTGATTATAGTTTTTGATAAGATTATGTCATGTGGGAGTTGTGATAGATGTATATGTTTGTGTCAATAAATGTCTGTTTAGCTTAGTGTTGTAATTTTTTAATGTGCTCCTATGGAAAAGGATTCTTCTATTCTATAATTGTTGTGTCTGAAGAGTGGCACTCCTAACGTGGAATGCATGTGGTAAAGTAGCAGGGGGGAAAGCTGTTGGCTTCCCAGAGCAAGAATCGTAGAAATACATGCTGCAGACAACCCAAAAGCTGATTTCTGTAATCCCATGTCTTCCCCAAAAAGAGAACTCTAGGTGGCAGTGTGATAGTTCATTGTTAAGGGCTGTCCGGCACAGCTAGCTCTAAAATTGTAAGCACAAAATATTGCTAGTATTGGAAAGGTGATAAAACATGCTTTATTTGCTTGCCAGGATTTTGAGAGTAATGGCTTTTGTAGGCCCTAGGAAGTTTTCATCAGGCATCAAACCATTTCAGGGAAAATGGAAATACTTGGTTACCTTCGGATAGTGTTTCAAGTATAATCACTGTGATTGATAATTATATAGGAAGAGCAATAGCTTCAGGAGAATATCTCTAGAATTATACTGCCTTGAAAGACATGACAGTACCAAGATTTTTTTTCTGAGAGTTCAGGTCTAATCCAGTTTAAGTGGAGCAAAGAGCTTGCATAGTGGCTTTTGTCTATTCTGGCTTTCCTGCTTAAGCACTTCAAGCCTCCTGGAATGGATGGTGAAGTTGCTTTCTATTTGGTTGTGGTTCAAGTGTAGCCCTAAACAGATCTAGAGTTCTGTACTAATACCATCTGACTGTGTTTGTGGATCCTTGTGGCCAGGTGAAAAATATGAAAGTTAACTTCGTTCTGAAGACTCAAATGACTTAAGAAAGGCACTCAGAATAGCCATGTTTGTAGTGCAAATTTAAGGTAATCTTGGATCCTCTTAAGGCGACACTAAACTTTGTTTCTGCAGATTGAAGGTTTTTCTGTTAACATCAACCTTCCAGTTAGGAGTGCTAAAACCAGTTTGCCTAAGAATTTGAAAGTTTATTTTGCTATTGAAATACCAAGAATATGGATATGAAAATCAGCTTTTGTGGAATTTAAATGATACAGACAGAAGATGCTATTTCCAAATACAATATTGTCACACATATTTTGTAGGTATACAGTGTAGTATGGTGAAACAAAAATATTACTTATACAGGAAAAAAAAAAGCAGAAGAAATGTTTCTAAACACAGGCCTCAGAAATAGCCCCTGTAGAGTGCATATTCTGCTGTGAAAGTATCTTCACAAAATCTTGTGTGCAGCAACACAGTGGCAGCTTTTTCTTCAAAATTTACTTCTTCAGAGTAGTGTTTGGTTCTTCTATTGATCTAATTATTTTCACCAAAAATGACCTCAAGAATTGACCTGCTCTGATAAAGTAGGCTGTCTTGTTTTATTTGCTAACAATGCATAATTAAAAAAAAAAATAAAACTAAGAAACACTTAGAACCCAAGGTTTCAATAAAACTAAGACTGTCTCAAGCAGTGCAGTGTTCATAATTCTTGAAAAGAGTAAACCTGATTAATCTTTCTAATTGTTTTTTTCTGCTATGATAATTTGCAACAAATTGTGTTTGTCTCTCTTGCCAGCTGCATCTTTTCAATTATTACTATTGTTACTTGTTTTTGTCAATATATAGCAGCAGTTTTCCTGCTTTTCCCTCTAATAGTATATTTCTCTTTCAGGGAGTTGATTCACTTGCTCACTCACCTTTCTGAAGCTCTGCATGAAGCACAACTTAAACTTATACTGGTCATCCCTCCTGCAGTTGCAGCAGGGTGAGTATTCCTCTTTAGATGGCAGTTTTCATGTGAGAAATACTTTCTTGTCTGATAAACAGTAAGTTCAAAGCTTTGTTCAAAGCTGTGCAGTTTAAAAGAAGAATAAATTATTTGCATTTGATTGGTAGTCCTTCCTCCATGCATGTTGCACTGAATAGTTTAGTAAGTATGTGCATTCATACATACCTCGTAATTTTTGATGTGATAGAGGAGCCAACAAGGAGAGGTGCTATGCTGGACCTTGTTCTCCCCAACACTCCAGCTGGGGTGCTGGGGTGTCATGAGAACAGAGAAGAGAGGCAGAATTCCCTCCCTTGGTGCAGCCCAGGATGTGGTTGGCTTTCCCAGCTGCAAGTGCACAGTTGGCTAACAATTGCATAGTTGGCAATGCAAGACTTTTTTTTTCCCTCAAATTTCCTTCCTTCCTTTAAGATGTTCAGCAACCCTATTGCCTGCATATGAAAACTCAGTAATGTAAGTCAAACAGAGAAGCATTGTTAGGTACTTTTTCAAATGAGAGTCAGTAGACAGCTAATGAAAAATATGACAGTTTCTTATTTTTCTCACTTTGGGCTGTACAGCAATATGGATAGGCTCACAGCTAGTACAGATTATGAGTTCAACAGCACAGTTTCAGGATAGTGTTTTACAGCCTCCTAAACTTCTTGTAGGCTGTCACATCTTTCAGCGTACATTCATTTTCAAAGTGCCAAATAGGCTGAGAAAATTGAATGCCTGAGCAGTCTGGTAAATGTTGCTTCTGTGGCCGGACTTTTCTCTACAATGACCTCAAGTTTTCTTTGAGTTTTATGAGGAGGTCCTATAGCATGTTGGGGAAATAAAGCATTTATACTTACAGCTATCTGTGCAGACTTAAATGCATCTGGCTGAAAAGATTCAGGGATCCTGTAGCAGGTGACTAAAAGGTTGTCTCTGTCTTGAGTTCAGTTAACATCTGCCCTATAACTGTGGTGTTACCTCTTCTGTCGGTTAGTAATGCAACCCCATCCAAACCAAATCCTGAATATAGGTACTCCCTACCATCTTAAGACTGTAAGCCCAGAACAATATCTACCTAATTTTGTTCTTCAATAGCTGCCTGAAATCTGATTGCAGTTTGTTTCCTGTGAAGTATGTACTTGAGGGTACTTCTTGTTTCTTTATATTTTCCCCTGTTTCATGCAATAACTGATTTATATGCTTACGAGAAGTAGCTAGTTTAATGCAAAAATCCCTTTGCTTCCTGTGTGGGGCTGCCCACCCAATTTTGATAGGCAGAGAGAAAGAAACAATGTGTTGAAGACTGTGGCAAAAGAAAACAATAAATTCTATGTAAGTTGCTAAAGTAGAGTTTTGTAAAACATTAGCTGTGCAGAGTCCTTTACTTAAAGGACTGAAGGCCTAGCTGCATTTTGAGGATATTCCTTCATATTCCTCAAGCACCTATTCTTTTACCTTGGCTCAGGAACATTAATCCTCTTAATTCCTTGCAGATTTCTCTGGAAAATTGTGTGCTGGTATGCCTTTGCATCACATGACTTTTCAGTGGTGCTAACAAGTACTTTGAGTTTCTTCTGATATGGTTAAATCAAAAATAATGCGAAATTAGTGTGTCTAATCTCCTGTCTGTCATTTATTCCAGTCTTTCATGCTGCCCTCTTATGTCCTACATCTCATCCCAATTGATGGTTACTTTAAAAAGTAATTTTCTGTTGCTATTAATTTTAATCTATTGCAGGTAAAGCAAAAGAGGAAATTTCAAAACATTTTTCTAAAATGCCTTATTAGTCACTGCATCACACAGATGCTTCTTAAAATGCTAATGCATGCTCTGGTAGAATTTAAATAATTTCTATAAACACTGTTCACGTTTGAAGTGCATTTGTGATTTGGGTGGTAGGGCGAAACTGGAGAATAACATAAACCTCAACATTTCTGTTCATTGTGATACCCATTGATGTTACCAAGGTCAGCCAGAGGAACCTAAGTTTGATTTGCTTCTATAAGTTATGTGGGGCTCTATAGTCTATTTTTTAAAAGTCCCTAAACAAGAGTTAGAGCCTCTATAATACCTCTGTATTCTTAAACATGTTTTGCCTGGACAAGAATTTGCATTTTTAAGATAACTATTTTTCAGGACTATTTCTGGATTGAACACTACACTCAAGTTTGGATCTTGTGTTGTCGTTGCTTCCTCCTGCTGTCCTGCATATTGACACAATAGTCAGGTCACATTTCTGAAATCTTTCTGAACTGGGATTTAGGGATGAACTATGAGAGCTGGAAAGAGATGCCTATTTAAAGTGCAATTTTTAACCTGAAATAAGTTATACATGCCTGTTCCTAAATGGCCTGTTTGTAGAGGAACTGTGAGAAATAACAGCTGTAATTTATATAAAAGAATCTGAAAGTCTCATTTCTCTAAACTAATTATATATATATATCTTTATTCATTCCTAAAGTTTTTGGGATTTATCCATAAACCTTTATAGCCCAGGAGAATTCATTAATCACATTCTTTTCCATCAATAATCTTACATAAGCCACCTGTCTGTCTTCTCTGTTTGTGTTCTTATTGCATTAACTAGAGAAAACACAAAAGTTTTTGAGTAAATAGGTTGTTGCAAATAGAGTCATAACTTACAGAAACATCCTAAAACACTCACAATGTCCATGTATATTTTAAAGCTTAGAAATATATTTGATTTAATGATATCAACAATTAGAATTCTGAAATTTTCTTTCTACCTTACTTGGCTTTTTGGATAGCAGCTGTACTTGAAAATACTTGATTTATAGGATACAAGGCTTGAACTGAAAAGCACCTCATACTTTGTATTAAATATCTCGTGACTTGAAATTCATTTTGGGTTTTAAGACTTCCAAGTGGTTGAAAGTGTGCTTTAATGCATCTTACGTTCTTTAGTTTGTGGAATCACTGTAGGCTGTTAATCAAAAATACAGAAAAAGGCATGAAAATAAGTACCATCAAGAATCACATAATATATCAGAGTTCAGCAGCTGGCAATGGACTGATAAAGGAGACATGAGCAGTATGTGGAATATCCTACACAATTGGGATGTTAGGAGCTGAAACATTGTCCCTTTTGTGTTCTACCCTGATTAAAATTTAAAGAGAGCATAGTCAAATGTAAGCAGTTTATTTAGGAATTTGTAATTTAGACTCTTTTGATATGCGTTAAGATCAAAGCAGTCTGTCAGCAAATGCTATCTGAAAGGAGACACTTAAGAGCTAAAAATACCATTTTGCTGAGGGAAAACCCGTCTGGAAAATGCAACACTGCACATGAGATTGAGTGTGGGATGTAGGAAGAGAACGTGTTGGATCATCTGTTTAACTTCTCAAATTCAACTTTTGCAACAAAAATTAGATCAATCCTCTGCTGAACCATGCTTTAGTAACTGAAGTGGTGCCTTTGGATTTTGGTTTGCTTGTAAAATGTTCTGGACTAAAAGAAAACTTAACTCTTTTTAAATCCACACATTTTATAGCTTTTCACAACATTAACCAGAGGCAGTTTATCTGGCATAAGCAAGAGTAATCAAGAGTTGGAAATGTGTTCGGATGTTGATTAGGAGTCAGGAATCTCTCTAGCAAGCTTTACTGTCACAGAGAATGCTTGTAGAGTTCCCATGGTGGAAAACAGAGATTGAGATAGTGTTTTCATCCACTTGATGTCTAGGAATTGCATGATGTTCCTGCAAATGTAAATGATTTACAAGAGAGATGAACAGCAGGAGCCAAAGCTATTCTTTTTGAAGTGTCTATGTGTGTAATTCTCCCTTGTGGACTGGAGTTATGCAGTTGAAGATGTCTGAAGAGGCATGCAAGGATTGCAGTGGTGTGTAAGTGGTTGCTAGAGCAGATGATTTGCTGAAGACTTCCACTCTGTCTTTCAACAGAATGGCTCAAAAAGTTAGAGTTTTACTGCTTTAAACGTGCATTTGCATTGATGCACGTATAAACTATGGGTATCATTTCCATAATGTCAGTGGGTAGCCACACATATTCATGTCCATTGCTGATGGTGAGGAACTCCATTGGTCTTACTAATCGTGGGCTTGATTAAATTTCTGCCTTAAATATATGCAGTTCAGTGTTTTATTGTACTGCAGAAATTATACTGGGAAAAGATGTGTGAATGTTTTTATACAGATTTCAAAAGCTGATGCCGTTGAGGCAGGACGGTATGAAATAATTCCACTTCAGAAGGCTTGAGAGTAGAACTCTCATTTATTTAAAACACACTGCTCTTTTTATAGAGAGCTTTGTCTGAACCAATTCTATTGGTCCTGAAGTAAAAACATCTCAAACCATTGGTGTGCAGTGATTGACGCACAGTGGCAGAACTTATCTATAAACAATGTGAACAACAGGAGAGATAAAGAATTATTTACTTTCTTTCCCAGCTGTTTCCCAGGCTTTTGCCTGGTTAGAAACCTTTGTTTTCTCTCTGACTGAGAATACCCACAAGCCTCTTTCCAAATAGGATAGCTGTGCTGGAGTGAACTACCTTTTTGCCTAAATATGCACTTGCATTACTATGTTGGGGGAAAAAATAAATATTGCAAATGGACCTTGAAATTTGGTTGCACCTGTTCTCAGAAGTCATAGGCATTGGGTTGGTTATTTGGTTTCTTTGTACTCAAATTTGTTATAATATTAGGAATGTATTCTCAAAGCAAAAATTGAGACTTTGTATAGTAACTCTTGTATATCTGCAAGTAAATTTAATATTACTTGATTAGATTATTGCATGTTTTGTCCAGGTTGAGCAACCATTTTTTCACTGTGTTTCCCGATTACTGTCAATAAAACAATGAGTAAAGAAAATCAGGTTTATTTACATAAGCTATCATTGGAGGGAGCATCAGTAATTTTCCTGTTTCTTGCTGTTGTGAGAAAGAACAAAGACAAAAAGTTCCTGGAAGCTGTAGGTTTCCTTCACAGGGGTTCTCAATCTATCTGTGGCTGC